AAATCTGGTAAAGGGAATTCGAGCAAGAATTCCAAGGGTCCCGGTCCACAGCCAGGTGATGCTTGTCACAACTATAAGGAAGTGGGGCATTGGAAGTACAACTGTCCCAAGAGAAGAGGGCAACAGAAGAAACAAGGTTCAGTTGCCGTGGCAGAAGTGGACAACAGTTCTGAAGACGATCTCGCCTTGGCTGTAGATGAGAAGGCACATCGTGGTGAAGTGTGGTTTCTGGATACTGCAGCCTCATATCATATGTCTCCGAACAGGGATTGCTTCACAACCTACGAGCAGATAGATGGTGGTAATGTGGTCATGGCTAATGGAGCTGTCTGCAAGGTTGTTGGAATCGGGTCCATAAAGGTTCGGACACATGATGGTTCGTTCTGTACCGTGAATGATGTCAGACATGTTCCACGAATGACGAAGAACCTGATCTCCTTGAGTCTACTCGACAGCAAGGGCTTCAGCTTCAAAGGAAAAGGTGGAGTTGTGTATGTCTGCAAGGGTTCGAGGAAGGTACTGAAGGGCGTGAAGCGTGGGACCTTGTATGCATTACAAGGGTCTGTGTTGTCTGGTTCTGCTGCAGTTGCATCGTCTCAGGTTCAACCGGAGGATATGACCACTCTCTGGCACATGAGACTGGGGCATATGAGTGAACGAGGGATGCAAGTTCTATCAAAGAGGGATCTTCTTTGCGGGCACAAGGTGCAGAATTTGGAATTCTGTGAGCATTGTGTGTTTGGGAAGCTACATCGCAGCAAGTTTCCCAAGAAGGGTATCCACCGGACGAAGGGGATACTAGATTACCTCCACTCCGACTGTTGGGGTCCTTCACGAGTTGAATCCATTGGAGGCAGCAGGTATTTTCTGTCTATTATTGATGATTATTCGAGATTTACTTAGATTTTCATGATGAAGCAGAAAAGTGAGGCTTTCACGAAGTTCAAGCAGTGGAAGACATTGGTGGAGAATCAGACCGGGAAGAAGATCAAGAAGCTGCGAACGGACAATGGTCTGGAGTTCTGCAGTTCTGAGTTCAACGAATTCTGCAAGGATGAAGGGATTGCCCGTCATCGGACTGTTAGAGATACACCTCAGCAGAATGGCGTTGCAGAAAGAATGAACCAGACATTGTTGGAGAGAGCACGGTGCATGCTCTCTAATGCTGGACTAGAGAGAAGATTCTGGGCAGAAGCAGTGAACATGGCGTGCTTCCTGATCAACCGTGGACCACACACAGGTATCGAGTGTAAGACTCCTTATGAAGTGTGGTATGGTAAGCCTGCTGATTACTCTTCACTGAAAGTTTTTGGGTGTCCTGTTTATTATCATGTGGATGAGGGTAAACTGAACCCAAGGGCAAAGAAGGGTGTATTTGTGGGTTACGGAGATGGAGTTAAGGGATTTCGAGTCTGGTCACCTTCTGAGCATCGAGTTATACTTAGTAGAAATGTGATATTTGATGAGAAGTCTATGTTTAACCCCATGTTGAAGGTTACTGTTGTTGAAGGTAGCAGGAATGTTGATAAACAGGTGGAGCTGCAAACTCTCAATGAGAGTGAGTTTGAGCACCAAGGTGGAGAAGATCAACATGATGAGGATGTCTCTGCAAAGCCAGAAACTTCAGAGTCCAGTGCACGAGCTCAACAGTCTATTACTTCCGGTAGACCAAAGAGAGCGACTGCAGGAGTACCTCCACAGAGGTATGGCTTCGAGGACATGGTGGCGTATTCATTTCAGGTTGCTGAGGAAGTGGATGCAGGAGAGCCACAGTCCTATAGAGAAGCAGTTTCCGGTGGTGAAGCTGATCAGTGGCTTGCCGCAATGGGAGATGAGATGGAATCCCATGACAGGAATCAGACTTGGGAGCTAGTCAAACGACCACAGGGAAGGAAGATTGTTACAAACAAGTGGATCTACAAGAAGAAGGAAGGAATCACTTCTAAAGAGGGCATGAAATTTAAAGCTCGGGTGGTTGCACGAGGCTTCTCGCAGAGGGAAGGAGTTGACTACAATGAGATTTTCTCACCAGTGGTCAGACATACTTCGATCAGAGTGCTACTAGCAATAGTGGCACATTATGACTTGGAGCTCGAGCAGCTAGACGTGAAGACAGCTTTCCTACATGGAGAGTTGGAGGAAGAAATTTACATGACTCAGCCAGAAGGATTCGAGGTTTCGGGAAAAGAAGACTATGTTTGTAAGCTGAAGAAGTCCTTGTATGGACTTAAGCAATCTCCGAGGCAGTGGTACAAGAGATTTGACAGTTACATGCTTGAGCTGGGCTACAGCAGAAGTCCATATGATTGTTGTGTATATCACAACAAGGCAGAGGATGGTTCGATGATATATCTAGTTCTGTATGTGGATGATATGCTCATAGCTGCGAGGTCAAAGTCTGATATCCAGAAGTTAAAGGGGCTTCTCAGTGCTGAGTTTGAGATGAAGGATATGGGAGCTGCTCAGAAGATCTTGGGTATGGAGATTTACAGGGACAGGTCAAAGAAGAAGCTTTTCTTGTCACAGAAGAGCTACATCCAGAAGATACTGTCGCGGTTTGGCGTGTCTTCAGCAAAGCCCTTAAATACTCCTAGTGCTTCAAATGTTCATCTATCCTCGGCTTATGCACCGCAGTCAGAGGCTGAGAAGGAGTACATGTCCAGAGTCCCATATGCTAGTGCAGTAGGTAGCTTGATGTACGCTATGGTATGCACTAGACCTGATCTTGCACATGCTGTTAGTGTTGTCAGCAGGTTTATGATACAACCTGGGAAGGAGCATTGGCAGGCTGTGAAGAGGATCTTCCGGTACCTTAAGGGTACACCTGATGTGGGGATTAGCTTCGGAAGTGATACAGAGTGCTTGGTGTCTGGGTATTCTGACTCGGACTATGGTAGAGATGTTGACACGAGGAGATCGATGACCGGTTATGTATTCACTCTTGGGAGTTCTGTAGTGAGCTGGAAGGCAACTTTGCAGTCGGCGGTGACATTGTCTACTACTGAGGCAGAGTATATGGCGTTGACAGAAGCTGCCAAGGAGGGAATATGGTTGACGGGACTGGTTGGTGATCTTGGTCTACATCATGATCAGGCAGTGGTGTATTGCGACAGTTTGAGTGCAATATGCTTGGCCAAGGATCAAGTCCACCATGAGAGGACTAAGCACATCGATGTGAGGTATCATTTCTTGAGGACAGAGAAGAGGATTAAGGTGAAGAAGGTTGGCACCGCGGATAATCCTGCTGATATGTTCACGAAGCCGGTTCCTCATGGCAAGTTCCAACACTGCTTGGACTTGCTGAATGTCTTGAGTGGGTGACTCCGCCCTACGGGGCATTGATGGCGGGAGAGAGAGAAGGAGCAGAGTACATCAGAGATTTCAGAGGAAGAGGATTCAAGTCAAGGTGGAGATTTGTTGATATGACTTGAATCGGATTATCAGCCGCTACGACTGGTAACCGGGGGTCTCGCTGTTATTTGGGTTCGGGTTCTGGGCCTGGTCTGTAACCGTTTCCTTTGCTAGATTGGATTAGGTTTAGACCCACATGGAGAAGTACTATAAATACTTCTCATACTCCTCTGTAATCTGTAATCTCCTCAGATATAGTGAAACTGGCTCTCTCTCGCCCGTGGACGTAGCTAACACACATCGTGTTAGTGAACCACGTAAATCGTGTGTCGTGTTTTCGATTCTCGCTCTCGTGTTCTTGCTTTGTCGATCCCGGTGATTTCCCGATCCGTAGCAGCGCGTTTATAACAAACCCAATCTTGACAGTCTTACATTCTTGGCTAATTCTAGAAAGAAAAAAAAAATTTAAGTCTTCCTCATTTTTTAACAAGTTAAAATTGACACTATGTGACCATGTGTAACAATTGTACTACCAAAAAGTCATTCAGCATTTTGGAAAAATTAACTATCACCGAAAAATTGAAGCCAAGAATCAAAATAAAATTTCCCAACTCGAAGAACTTTTAAAATGAGTTCATTGTTGCATAATTAACATCCCTGCTCGAACAACTTTTAAAGTTATTTGATATGATTCCTTATTAATTTGTCTCTTCTATGCATGGTCCATAAAACCGTACCGGAAAAGTCAGCGATAGGATATTTTATGACAAGGTCGTGGTTTAACTGTAGTTCAACCATTTATATCGTTAAATACCGGTTACCGGTTTAGCCTCCGATACTGGTAATTTTTGGTTGAACCGCCGGTACGATATGGTTTCATGGACCATGCTTATGTTCTTTCTATTCCGTGTTATGTACCCAAAATCCTATTCCACAATTATCCAACCCAAAAAATCATCAACAACATGCATGCAACTATATATCGTTTTATGATTGAATTAAGATAACAACACCACCACAGGCTCTCACTAGGGATGGCAATTTACCCACCCATGGATAATTTTGCCCAAACCCAAGTAGACCCATTTAATATGGGTAGGGTTTGGGTGATGTGTGTATGGGTTTGGGTTAGATATGGATATTATCTAAATGGGTATGGGTTGGATATGGATATCCATTTATTTGAGGGTGTTTTAACTACACATGCAAAAATTGGACTTATTTGTAAAACTTAAAAAATTTAGGTACCAAAATGTAAGATCAAAAAAATTTAGGTACCAAAACGTAATTTTCCATCGATATTTTGAGGACTTATATGCAAAAAAAATTAAATTTAGGTACTAAATATGCATATCTATTAAGTTTAGGTACCAAACTGTAATTTGTATTTGGGTATGGATACAAACCCAAATCCAACCCAAAGTAAATGGGTATGGGTACAAATCCATCAAACTTTACCCATATCCATATATTTGGATTTCATACCCAACCCAATTGGATTGGATAGTAAAATACCCATGGGTATGGGCAAAATTGCCATCCCTAGCTCTCACAATATATTGTAGCCTTCTTTTTAACGAGAAAACACCACCACTTGCATAAATTATTACATGTATTTGGATCGCGCGACGTACACCATGAAACCATTTCGGCTACCATGCTTATTTTATTTTGTAATCGTTCTTTTATTTCTTACCGCAGCATGCATCTATGTTTGCAATAATGTACATATATAGATGAACAGGTCAAATTACTTAGTCTCCACAGTCGACGAACTTGTAGTCAACCATGAGGTGGCCTTGATCGTTCCCTCTTCCATCAGTGTCAAGCCGCCTGAAAACACCAACGTCCAGATCCAGCCCTCCGTTGCTACACTGGTCCACGATCCTCACCGTTTCTTGGGCGCCCGTTCCCTTGTTCGTCACCTACGTACATGTGACGCCCGTAACAAAAGTTATTTACCTACCATCAAATAAACATTTTGTAAATTATATGACTATGCTTACACTCAAGCAGCGGCCACAAGAAGCCTGGCCGTGCGGTCCACCCGGCCCACAAAACGCGGTCCAACCGTACTTCTGGCGCCAGGACAAGGGCTTGTCGGCGTCCCAGGTCGAGCAATACGCGCTGACTGCGGTCAAGCTCCACCCATTCTGCTCAGGGTTGTACAAATGATAGGTTGACCGGACATTAGAAGCACTCTTGCCACCGCCACCGCCACCGCCGCCACCACCTGGGCTGCAGTTGCTTTGGCAGTTTTTGGAAGGGTTGCAGTGATCATCGGTGATTCCACAGTAGCCCCATTGGCTGCAACACAGGTTACCGGCGCAGCTGCTGCCCCCGGCTTGACTGCCGCAGTTCTGCCCGCTGGCTAACGTGATGATGAACAAACAGAGGAGCAGTAGGATGTATCTCACCATAGCTACGTTCAATTAATCTCTCCGTTATTTTTGTTTCGTGATTGTGGATGAAGGTGAGATTTTGGGTATTGGGTGGCCGGCCGGTGTCTAATTTATAGGGGAGAAGCAATTTGAAGAATGATGGAATCCACTGTCCAGTCCGGCCCAACAATGTTTAAAAAATAGAAAATGAAGCCAAGCAGGCAGAGTCCAAGATGCCAAGTATGGCGAGAACGACAATGGGTCGGGTTGGGTGGAGTTTCTTTAAACACAGACCAAACACAACATGTGCGCTCAAAAAATAAATATCCAATTCAATGGGTATCCACGGATGTATGGTATATCCATGAATACATGAATATAATTGCACATTTTTTTCTTCGGATATCCACATCGTAATATCATCAAAAAAATTCGTGCAAATATATTTCCATAAAAACTAATACTATCAATAAATTACTCATAAAATTAAGGCTATATTGTCATGCAAACTAATAACATCCAAAATTTTATCCATATTGTTTAGGCTTGACATAAAAATACATTATGTTGTTTTTCGGGTGCACTCGTGTCAACTGTCAGGTGCAAAGCGGGTTGGATTTTGGTAAAACCCAATCCGACGATTTGAAAACAAGTAAATCTGCACCCAACTCAAAATTCGAAATATTGAAATTACCCGCTTTTACCAAATTGAATATGAGTTGGATGTACATAATTAAAACTGGTTCAATTATCATCCTTTAGTAAGGTGGACCACTAATTCTTAGAATTTGAAGTCGCCGGAGCTACTGTAGGCTAAGTGGCTAACTATGGGTGCGCGTGGATTTAGTAGGAGGGTCGGAGATTATTAGGCCGTGGGTTTTGTGTGGCTTACTAAAAATTAAATAACGTCGAAACCGATTTGTGGAAGCGGTTCTTGGACGCTACCCAGAGGCCGTTGTGTAGAGGAAAGCCTCCACCGCTCGGTAATTATTCATTTGACCGCATCCATGCTGACAAACAACTCTCGTCCATGCCTCAACTATTGAATTTTCGGATTTGTTCCCAGCTAGAGAAATTGTCAGGAAAGAGTTGCTAGCTGACAAATGTTCGAAGTCTAACAAAGAAAATTAGAGTTATCGATTTGTTTCGGTTGGGAATACATCCGATTTGTTTGGCCACATCGGCAAATTCTACCCAATTTCATCTCTAACCGTCCACTCTCAACAAATTTGGATTATTAACTAATTCTGAACCATCGTTCTAACTTTAATACGTAATTGATGTAATGTTAATGTTAAATTTTAAACTGAAACTCAAGCCAAACAGTCATCTTCCTGTACACAAAATCCAAGCACAAGAATAATATAAATAAAGCAGTGCAATTTTTTCAATTTGACATCCTGAAACACCTCGTCGAAATTGACACCGGAAGACCAAAATTCATTATTTCGATTTTCAAAAGACTAGCATGTTATCACCAAGGATTAAAATACCGTACCAGAGGTTGTACAAAAAAAATTTGTGGGAGGGTATTTTGTGGTATAACCGTGGTTCAACCAATTCGTACCGGTAAAATACCGTTTTTTAATAAAAATTAGGGTAAATACAATATATTAGCCACAACTATTATGAAGCGGGGAATTATAGCTACAACTATGGAAATTCAAATTATTAGCCAAATGTTAACTATCTGCTAACAATTTTGTTAGTAATACTGACTAAACTTTTATGTGTTAAAGTTATAAATTAAAAGCATTCTGAAGTGGCCGCTGCCGTGGCCGATGACATGGCCTTCTTCGTCAAAAATTCAATAACAGTAACGGACAGTTAGCCATATCTTGACCCACAACAATAGTTATGGCTAATAATTTGAATTTTCATAGTTGTGGCTATAATTCCCCGCTTCATAATAGTTGTGGCTAATATATTGTATTTACCCTAAAAATTAATATTTTGTTCAAAATACCATATCGGAAAAAATAGTGTACCGTATCGAAGTAATACCGGCAATATACCGTAATCATACCTGATAACAAATAGGAAAATAATTAAGAAGTCTTCAAATAATAAACTAGTCAACAACAAAGTATCAAATTACAACCTTCAATCAACCACATCATCCAATTGCATTATTATAAAGAACTCCGCAACTACCAAACAAAGTTTACATATGAAAATTGAAAAGTTCATAACTACCAAATTGGAAACCACAATTTGAGAAATTCAAATTCTCATCCTCAAACAACTCCAAATGAAGAGAAATTCACATTCTCCTCCTCATCGGCTTCATCTTCGTCATCATTTGATGCACCAACTACAATACAAAATCAAAAAGTAAGGGGTCGTTTGGATGTAGAAATGTAATGCAGTAATTGGACCCAATTACCACATAATGCAGTAATTGGGTTAAAAACCCACGTTTGGGAGAGCAAAAAGGGTATGGGAATTGGACCATGGAAATTGGCTTCAATTACCACATTCATGGTAATTGAGAATACTACACCTCCCCCTAGTAATTTGACATTACCACGTTTTCTCACTTCTTTTTCCAAATTCCACACCATCAATTCCCACAAAACTAAACCCTATCCAAACGTGAATTTTTTTCAATTTCCACAAGTCAATTCCTTGGTTTTGTAAAACATGGAAATTGAGACAAATTCCAACGTTTTCAAATTTCCACATCCAAACGACCCGTTCAATCATTATAAATTACTACACATCTATCATACATAAATAAATTCACATTTCACACACAAACCTTGCTCTTCTAGTGCTCGATCATGCTCATCAGCATCCAATTCCATTTCTCTAGAAGGTGAATCTTGATCTTCTAACAACCAATGACTAGTAGCTTCAATACTTTCAGTACTTATAGGATCATAGGAATCTTTGTTCTTCTTGCTATAATACTCCCTAATAAAGGTACAACAAAAAATGATTCAACCAAAAATAAGTAACAAATGTAAAAGACAATACAATATTCAAACAACTCAACTTACACATAATTTGCATAATATCAAATCATACCTATTCTGCAATCGCATGTTGTAATTGACAAAGACCAAGTCACTAAGCATTTTATGCATCAATTTGTTCCTTCTCTTAGTGTGCACACATACAAACACACTCCAATTACGTTCGCAACCAGAAGCTGCAGCAATTTGGCTAAGGAGTCGAACAACCAACTTCTGGAGATTTGGAGTATCAATACCAAACCACGTCCACCACTTATCTACAAATTAAACATGCATGTTAGTTTCTTAAATTTTGTAATGAATTGACCAATGTAAGTAATATCAATTACCTGGTTGTTGTTGTTGTTGTGCTGACTCAAGTGCAAGCTTTCTCCCAAAGTTCCCTAAACGATCAGCATATGTATTCATCTCCTCCACTACCACAGCTCTATTGGGGCATAAAGTTGAATTCTCAAGTAGATAGGAACTCCATTTCTAACCACTCTTGAAACAGCAAAATCATAAGAATACTTGAATACAGGGTTAAGGAAGTATGATGCCAAAAACAACTCGGTGTTCAAATGCTTATCCCATCTCCTGTTAATGATGTCGATGTATGGCTTATACTTCTTTACTTTATTTCCACAAACACTCATCACTGCACTCGACACCCTCAACATCCCATCATACACATACCCCAATGCAGGATGACTATCCGAATCCATAATTCGAAGCAACTTCACAAGAGGAACTGTCAACTTAACCATGAAGTCACAATCAACCCAAAATTAATGATCTAATACAATTGAATTCACAAGCTTTCCGGGTGTAGTACTTGATAAGGGGGAATCTCTAAAGAACTCACTTATCACCAGAGACTCCGAATCAAACTTGTGTGCAAGAACACTTTGCAAACTCAGAAATGTAGTTGCAAATCTAGTAGCACTAGGCCTCACTATTTCTTTCCAATTCTCCCTCATCTTCAATCAGTAATAAATTGGATCATGATTGTAAACAAATTTAGAGATCTTAATAGCTCGATCGGCAAGACTCTTAACAAGAGGCATTTCTCCAATGTCTCTCAAAATCAGATTGATAGTATGAGCAACACAAGGGCTCCAATATATATTACCATAGTGCTCATGTATCATCCCTGCTAATTTATAATTGGCTGCATTATCAGTCACTACATGCACAACACTCTCAGACCTAACCCAATCAATGACCTCACAAAACAAGTTAAACAAGTTCTTTCTAGTCTTCATTATTGATTCCTGGTTGACTACCCGAGGCTAACCGTGGAGCAAAGTAAGTATCAATAGAAGCCCTAGGCATATCTGTAGAACTAGTAGCAGCAGATCTTTTTGGAACACTCCCACCTACATCTTGTACACTATTATCACTGCTCTGATGCTCCTCATATCCAGCTTTTAAAGTTTCATTTTCACTTTTATCCTTTTTGTATTCATCAATATGTTTCAATAAGTTCTCACGAACCTCAACAGGCACCTTAGGACACAAAGTATTATTCCCCTTTTTCCAGCTAAATGATACTTCCTTCTAGTGATCCTCCACCTCTACGAACCACTCCAAAATAGAGACATGTGCGTACCTCCACTTTCCCGTCCATAGTAAGAGAACAATGGGCCCAAGCTGGATCTTTCTTTTGCCTCAAGCTTTTGTTGTCAATCTTGGTTGGCTGGAAGCTTGTTGCTCCACTAATTGATCTTGTCTGCCGCTGTCCATTTCTAATCAACAAAAACAAAAAAAATTCAATTACAATTGTGGTTTTCTACTGCCCCTTTCTTATCTACCAAGGAATAGCATCAAAAGACCCTCACAAAAATTGAGTCAATCGAACTGAGAAAATGATGAATGAATAACCTGAAGATGAGTCTTCTACGGTCGAGAACCGCAGTGCAGCTCGGGTCGCGGTCGTTGGTGGAGGCTCGTGCAGGAGTTTGCACCGTCGTGGAGTTCGCGCAGAAGTTTGGCTCATCGTTTAGCTCTGGTCGCGGTGGACGTTTAGAGCTAGCGAGTTGAGGCCACTGTTTAAGGAGGGGATTGGGGTGGCGAGATACGAAATGGAGGGTTGGAGTTGGGCGGTTGGCTGCACAGAGGGAGAAAGTAGGATTTTTTGGTTGTAGATGACACATTTCTCCCCCTTCCCTTGCAATTACGACTTTGTTTGGGACCTGCAAATATTTTTTTTTTTGGCTTTTGCACGGGTTGATCGGAACAAGCTAAACCAGCCGGTATTAAGCGGGTGAGAGGTTCAACCTCTAAAAACCGATCGGTACGGTATTTTGCTGCATTTTATCCTACCATCCCAGTTTTTGCTCCGGTACCGGTATTTAGAGGTTCAACCTCCGGTATGGTACGGTATTTTAATCCTTGATTATCAGGGGAACCATAACGAGAAAAGAGAAGCGACTAGTAAGGAATGGGGAAGGGAACTATGGAAGGGAGTTGCTGGACCCAATATTTGACAGGTCCAAAAACAGTAAAAAGGAGCCCACAAGAAAAGAGGCGCCGACGAGCCAAATCATTCCGGTAAGACGCAAAGCCCAAAAACCGGAAAAAGGATCCCACAAGAGAAGACTCACCAAGGGAGTTGTATTACCTTCTTTTTTTTTTTTTTTTTTTGTTTGCCTCTCCCTTGCTCGGGAGAGTTTTGAATAACCAAAGTCTGACTCATAGCATTAAGGGGCACCCGTGCCAGAACTGCAGATGGAGGAATCTTTATAGTAGAGCTAGTATCCACGGCTTTACATTTCATTGTTACCAACTGAAACCCATCATCATCAATCATAGTGTCACCTGACGCGGTGAACTCTGCATCCTCAACGCCCCAGTCGAGAGGGTCCCCTCAGAATCTGAGGTACTTGCTTCCCCACCCTTATTTGGAACCCAAGCAAACATCAGTTGTCATCACCTCAGCAACAATTAGGTCCTTCCTAGTAACCACCTGTACCACCCTGCATTTTTTTCCTTCCCCATCATAATGACCAAACTCGATACACTGAGTACAATGTGAAGGGAAATGGAGATACTGCACTCCCAAACCAAGCGAGCCATCACCTTCTGGAATAATACAAACTTCCTCCGGGAACCCAAAATCAGCATTGATATCCACACAAACCCTAGCAATACCAGAATGAACACCCAACCTAGTCGATTGGTCCATCCATAGAGTCCCCAGTAGACTAGCAATACGACTAAGTCCTTCAGTAGTACAGTACTTTAGTGGTAGTCCACTCAACCTTACCCAAATTGGCAACAATTTGAGACTCATCTGAACCGGTTGAATCCAAGGTTCCCATCGACGCAGAAAAAAGGATTGTTTGCATAGTGCCAAGGACCATTCTCGAACACCTAGTCATGTGTATTCGGATCTGAGAATTGGAAGATAAACATATTCTCTCCGAACGGCGAAATAAATACCTTCCCATCTCACCCCCAGAAAGGATGCGCCCAATGGCGGAGCTGGTCCAGACCTGGTGCATGAGAAAGAAATTGACCGACAATTGCGTCCCGTCATCGAGCGGCTCTTTCATCGCACACAACTCTTGGAATCACCAGCGAACCATCCACGATGGTCGGAGCAACAAAATGCAGTTGGTTGCTCTCCCCTACCCCAAATAATTGCGCTCAATCAGCAGGGGCACCCTGCGCGGCGACCATTGCCCAAAACCTAGCCCGAGCTTCGGAGAGAAAACGAAAAAACTTTTTTTTAGATCAGAATCTCTTCATTAGAATTATCAATGAGCAGCTAATCAAAATTTTATAATACCCCTCTCCCCTCTCATAAGAACCCTAAATCCCAATCCTATATGAAGCCATTCACTACTATTCCACAATTGGCGGCTTGGCGCTACTCCTGCCATCCAAATCGCATCTCTTGTCTATGTCATTGTAATTGTTCTTGTCGCCTCAAATGACGTCACTACAGTTCTGCCCCAAATGGAAAGGTGGGACAAGACCATCATATTGGAAGGTGATGCGACTCTCTATTGCAATGAACTAGAGCGGTCGCTCACATAGGGACCAAAACGGTTGTTATATATAGTATATGAACCAAAATGTAATTTTGTTGTAATCGGGGAAGAAACTATGTGAAATGGTAATTTGTTTAGCTTAGTATAAAATCTTTACAATGGAGACATCTATACAAAGTTTTGCATTCTATCAAATAAAAGTTTTTGTTCTCTTCTTTCGCAATTTTGATTCTAAATCTAGAATGGTATCAGAGCTTGGTTGTACATAGTTTTAATATGCATCCTATTAATCTTCTATATAGAGAGGGATCAAGAAGGATCTCACCAGAGATTGTAGACAATCTAGTATGAGGTTCAGAAGGAGAAATTAAAGTCATTCCATTTCCAGCAATCAAGTGTCTACAATGATATGTAAAACAAATTTTCTTGGACAAAGGGTTGGAGTTTTAGAGCTACGTGTTGCTCATGAAAGTACATAGAGATCGACTGTCGTCTTATCAGTGAAAAGATCACTTCTGGCTCAATCAAACTCTTTCACACACCTAATGACAACCAAATTACAAATTACAAATTAATACCCCAATTAAATCCTATTACAACTAAACCCTCATTCATTACATACTTTGATTAGCTTAGTATAAAAGTTGTACAGAGGATACATATATACTTGCATTCTATCAAAGTTTTTGTTCTCTTCTTCCGCAACTCTGATTCTAAATCTAGTAAGGGTTCCGGTGGAGATCTCGAAGGTCTCCACTGCCACAAAGCCCCAGCAGCAGATATGCCCATCCACTCTGGTTCGAAAACTGAAAAGAATACCTAGCAGTTTTGACGCTCTTAATAGAAGTCGGAGTAAGGTTTTACTGGAACTGCATTTCACAATCATTGCATACACACAATAGCATGGATCAAAAGATCATAAAGCGTAGTACGAGCGATCAATCGGCAGTAATACATCCTTGCGCCAACTCCTAATAAACACCATAACGAAATTCCCGACCAGCGGTTGGCATTCTAAATTCCCAAGCAGTCTATTGTGCTTGTTGGGCATGGATCACTCCCTAAAAAAATTGACTTTAAATGGTGTGGCAAGGCTTTGCGGGGAGCAAACTTAAGGAACTGCTTCATAACACAACACTTGCCGAAAAAGAAAACCGTTCAAGACAACTCAGTAGAAGAGAGAAATATAATCCACACAAGTTCTAAATAATATGCCAGCCAAATTGTGCCATCACCACACCAGGTACCACACAATGATCTTGACACACTCAAACACCATCACGAAAAGTTCAAGCGTCAAAGAAAATGAACTGAAATCCGCAGAGCCAAAGCAGTACATGTGTTTATTGCATACATAGCTTGCTGATAGGAACACCTCCTCCATCTCACATGTTTATCATATCCTGCAATTGTAGAAGATGAATGAGCAGACATCCAAACAACAAACAGTCTTGGTATTCCATTATATTGTTGTGTTTGAGCTTTTTGGGTGAGTACTTACACTGTGGGACGATCTTCCACAGCTGGTTGTCCCCCTGGTTCCACTGCCACAGCACGATGGTGGTTCCATCCCGGACCCCACCAGACTGCTTATCGCCATGGAAAGCATCGACATTCAGGTGAATGTTATTGACCATCCTCATGGCTCTGAAACCACTACCCATGTCCTTGCTCAGACTCCACAGGACCGACTGGTCAAGAACATCGGGCTTATAAGGTACCAGCTGCACCTGCACACACATATTTGGACGGTCATAAAAGCATTTGAGTACAACTTTCTCCTATCGATCCATCGGCAGGCTACAGTGATGGTGAACAACCGCCTAGTATCTTTCAGTGAAAAAAGAAAGCATCCCAAACTTGAATGAGGTTCTTCACCCAGAGCCGAATTTCCTTCTAAGTTGAGGAACTCGGTATCAGATAACGAGGTAATGGGTCTGATCAAGATTGAAACTTAGGTAAAGGGTAATTCACAGCAATGCTACGATTCAAAGACCACAATAAGGATCAGTTGAAAGGAACTCAGAGCAATGGTAAACATTCACTGACAAAATTTGGTGACCAATTGAAGGACCAAGCAAGGTAAAACCATTGAAGGCAAGCCATTTCATTTCAAGAACAATCATAATTTCGATAGCGCAGGGGCATGGTTGAGTGATGAATATCCTTACAGGGTTAGAGTCTCCAGTGGAATGCTTCATGGCCTGCCCAGTGCCCTTATTAACCAAAGAAAAGCAAGGAGACCCTTCCGCATCTTTCACTCTTGTGCTGTACTTCTCATCCTTGAACCAGTTCTGTTAACAATTCACCCCCACAAGATAACAAACAATCAGGTGCAAAAGAGAAACAGATCGTACTACTACCCATATCACAACACCAAACAGTGAAAACTGGATTTCAAAATTGGGTAGAGATCCAGAACCTGGCAGGGATCACGAGGATCGGATCGAGCCAGCATCAGTTTGCCGTCTCTAATGGTGAGGTGGAAATCAGGGTTGCCCTTGCAGTAAACCTTAGAGGAAGGCTTGCTGGTAAGATCAAGCCCCGGGACAGGGCCGGCGGAGTGGTGAGACAACCCGCCGATGACTCCGTGAGAGACATGGGTCACTTGCGCCGGGAAGTTCTGAGGAGGAGCGTGCCCGATTCCGCCATAAGAGGACTCATGGGTCGCGGCAGGTGGAGGATAGTTGGGGGTGGGATCATACCCGATTCCGCCATGGGAATGGGAGGACTCATGGGAACTGTGGTAGACATGGGTTGTTTCCTCGTGATGGGGTTTCGGCGGTGGCGGTGGCGCCTCGTAGAAAGCCTCCTCGCCGTGGCGGTTAACCGCAGCCGAGGGAGGAGCCGGGTAATGTTGACCCGCTCCAAACTCGTTGTGACCGTAAGGAGCGGGCTGCGGAGGGTAGGCGTTGGTTCCAGGCGGTGGGTAGAAATTAGCTGATCGCCGCTCGTCATCGTTGTTGTAGTCGTCGTTGTGGCGATGGTGGCTCTGGTGGTGGTGGTTGTGGCCGCCGGGGAAGTCCATTGCTAAGAAATCTGGAGGGTGAGAGGTGAATTTGGGAAGGAAAGTTGGCAGTGGAAGCGGTGGGAGGCGAGGAGCTGGGACGAGGGAACTGAGGAAGGTGGACGCCGGACGGCTGATGTATACTGTGATTCGATTTCTACATCGGAATTTCCAATTTTCCTTTAATTAGTTTTTTGTCCTTTTTATTTGCTTTTCTTTAATTAGTTTAAATTGCTTTTAAAATTGGGGTTTGAAGATCATTTTAGTTAGTTTGGCCTTGGGCAATCGCGATCCTACACTTGTCGACTCTATTAATTATTACTTAGCTTAATGTGTAAGGAGGATATGGTTGGAATACTAATCCACGTGTTTGATGAGTCCCTTGTCCATTTCTATTTGTTTATGGTTTTATCTGAATGGGGTCAATGACATCTTTTTCAGAACATTGATGAGGTGTAATGATTGTTTAAAAAAGAAGACCGGATGGTTACTCATGCGTAGGGTAGGTAGGGATGGCAGGCCGGGGCCCAAATTCGGGTATCCGCCCGAAGCCCGCCCGATAAGGGCCCATGCGGTTGGGGATCTCGGGCCCGTCAACGGGTGGCGGGTAACCCGAAGCCCGTCAACCATGGTTTTCGGGTGGTGGTGGTTAGCCCAGTATCCGCCCCGCGCCCAGCCCCGCGACCCGCCCGACGGATTAACCGTGTAGAAAACGACGGCGTTTGGAGGGCGTATATAAACTCTGCTTCCCCTTGGAGAAACCCTAGCAGCCGCCTCATTTTCCATTCTCCCCCAAATCGAACAGAAACCCTAGTTTCCTTCTTCTCTCTGCCTCCTCTCTGGCGATTAGCTATCAGATCGCTAGATAATCGCGATCTGGCCGATTTTTCGTCATTTCCCCTCATCAAATCCTCCATTCGACCAATTGCTCAAAGAGCAATCATCCGACGAAGATTTCATCGGCCGCAGTCCAAAAACGAGTCGTTGCCTCGTTGGAAGTCTGAATCGCTGATTCTTCGAGAAAAGATAAGTTCATTCTGGGTTTCTTATCTTTTCTTTCAAATTTCTTCCCTGATTCCCCGTTCCCCTAACTCTCTACTGACTCTTCTTCTACTTGTATAGATAGGGGGGATTCAGAGCGCAGAGGTCGTTTCTCAGTTCTCACCACGCCATCTTCTGAGTTCTGAAATCGAGAACAAGAATACCCCAGTCGAGTCAACAGAGAGCAGAGACCGAGGGATTTAGCCGAGCGCCCGAGCATCCAGACACAGTCCAGTCGTCGAGGTCGAGGGTAAGTTTCTAGATCTCGTCTAAGTTTCATAATACATACATGCATGCATTAAATTCCCGTTCTAACTTGGTTTGTGTTTTATTTGTTCACTGACTCTTCTTGTTCACTCTTGTTTGGGCTAGGTTGGTCTCCTTTGCAACTTTGGAACGGGTTTACTGGTTTAGAGAACTGAAGCAGACAGAGTCCAGTCGTCGAGGGTAAGTTTCTTGATATCGTCTAGGGTTAGTGGTCTCATAATACATACATGCATGCATTAAATTCCAGTTCTAACTTGGTTTGTGTTTTATTTGTTCACTGACTCTTCTTGTTCACTCTTGTTTGGGCTAGGTTGGTCTCGTTTGGAACTTTGGATCGGGTTTACTGGTTTAGAGAACTGAAGCAGAACAGAGTCAGTGAGCAGTTAGGAGCAGTCTACTGTCATTGGGTACTCGACAGTCCACATAAAACTCCAATCCGAGAAGGTAATCCCAGTTCTCTCCTAAGCCTCACCTCACTGTGTTTGACTGTTTGTTCAAATGCTGCGACTTGTTGTGACAAACAGTGGATTCACCGAGCTAATAAGTAAAATTAATTAAACTGTAAGCGTGCTTTTGCTGCTAGAGATGTTTGTTTGCAAGGCTTAATGAGTTAATGTTAATAACTAAGTTAATAACTATTGACTAAGGCTTAATGTTCAGATCATCTGAATATTAAGCCTTAGTTTAAATTTAAATCATGTAACTAAGTTAATGACTATTAAGTATTAACTAAGGCTTAATATATATTATGTCAGATGGAAGGTGCTCCTGCTATAAATGTTGACCTTGCTCCCAATGTGGATGCCCCTGAAAATGGTGTCCAAGTCCAACCTCAACCTGAACAACCTGTCCAACCTCAACCTGAACAACCTGGTAATGTTGAGGAGCTTGAAGCTCAACGTAAATTAACCTCTGATGTGTGGCCTCACTTTAACTGAGTTAGGGTTAATGGGGTTATGAAGGCTAGGTGTAAGTACTGTCGTAAATTCCTTGGTGGGGAAACAAGTAATGGAACTTCACACCTAAGAACCCATATCAAAACATGTATCCAAAAGAGGATACATGATGGTTCTCAAAAAATACTTGGGCCTAACTATAAACCTGCTGGAAATCCTCAACTCTCTGCTTCTCAGTAAAATTATGAGGTTTCTAGGAAGGAACTTTGCTCAATGATTCTGGTCCATGAGTACCCCCTTAGCCTTGTTGATCATGTGGGTTTCAAACGTTTTTGCTGTTCTCTTCAACCTCAGTTCAGTGTTCCTAGTAGAAACACTGTCAAAAAGGACATTTTGAGTTTGTATGGTGTTGAAAGGGGTAAATATCAGACCATTATTGATGGTAACCTGGGGAGGGTTGCAATTACAACTGATTTGTGGACTGCCAGAAATCAGAAAAGGGGTTATATGGCAGTAACTGGTCACTTCATTGATAACTCTTGGAAACTCCGTAACATAATGATGAGATTTATGTATGTTCCAGCCCCTCACACCAGTGAAAGGCTTGCTGATAGGTTGTTTGACTGTCTTTTGGATTGGAACATTGATGGTAAGTTGTCCTCAATCACATTGGACAACTGTACCACCAATGATTCCATGATTTTCCACATGAGAACTAAGCTTCTGAGCAGTGACTTGTTGCTTGATGGTAAATTTGTTCATATGAGGTGTTCTGCTCATATTCTGAATTTGATTGTAAGGGATGGTTTGGATGCAATCAAGGATGCTATAAATTTGATTAGGGAGAGTGTAGTTTACTGGAATTCTACACCTAAGAGGGTTCAAACCTTCTTCGAAGTTGCTAAGCAACTTAAGTTGTCTGTTGAGAAAAAATTAGTCCTTGATTGTCCAACTAGGTGGAATTCCACCTATCATATGCTCTCTGTTGCTATTCCCTACAAGGATGTTTTCTTTCGTTTGAGTTTGAGAGACAATCATTACACATCAGTTCCTTCTGGTGAACAATGGGAATTTGCTTCTACTGTGATTGGGAAGCTATAAATCTTTTTTGAGATTACTGAGTTGTTCTCTGGTTCCAAATATCCGACTGCCAATCTGTTCTTCCCTAAGATATGTGATCTCAGACTTAAACTGAATGAGTGGGGTCTTGATCCCAATCCTGTGATTTTTGGAATGGCTAGTCAAATGTCACTGAAGTTTGATAAGTACTGGGATGATATCCATCTTGTGCTTGCTGTATCGGTTGTTTTGGATCCTAGATATAAACTCCATGTGATTGAATACTATGCTGGAAAGTTTGGGAATACTGAAACTGGTTTGGTTGCTGAGAATATCAAGCAAATGATATGTGGTTTGATTCGTGATTATCAAACCAAAGCTGAGAAAAAATCTGGTTCTGAAACTGGAACTTCTTCTTCTGGTTCTGGATCTGCCTCTGCCACTGAACTTGAATTTGAACTCTTTGTAAGTCAAAGGAAAAAGAGTAAGACTTCCTTGATTACAACTGAGTTGGATATGTATCTTGCTGAGGATATCATTCCTCGCACAGCAGAGTTTGATCTGCTCTTGTGGTGGAAATTGAATGGTTTGAAGTATCCTACCTTGCAATCAATCGCAAGGGACTTTCTGGCAATCCCTATTACTTCTGTGCCTTCTGAGAGTGCATTTAGTTCTGGTGGGAGGTTGTTAGACCCTCACCAGAGCAGGCTGCATTATTCGACTGTGGAGGCAATGATGTGTACTAGGAGTTGGATAATGGAGGACATGCAACGAGGTAAAATGCAACTATATCTCTTAAGTTTATTGCTTTACGTTTTAATAATAGTATTAACTCATTGAACTGGTTCTCTGCAGATTCGGAGGCTGCTGTGGAGGCATTGGATGGACTCTTCTCAACAATGACACTCGAAGATACAACTGTGGAAGAGGCAGAACCTGGTGGTAAGATAAAATTATCATTTTTCCATAATGTGTTCTAATTTCTATTATTTCATTGGGGGAATACTTATACTTGCATTGTTTCGCTTTTTCAGGTCCAGAACTCACCTTAATGAGATCACCATTTGCCCATGAAGACTGATTGGTAATCTGCTGTGGGACCAAGGTATAATTGTCTTCTTTATTTGTTGTCGTTGATGCATTTTTTATTTAGTCTTTACTAACTGAATCATTGCTCTTGTGTGTAATTTATTCAGTTTCAATTGATGATTGCTGGTCTGCTGGTTTACATCGATTGGAATGAGGGTCAGGGGTGGTCGGGTGGATGATTTCTCAATTCTCAATGATTCGATGTTGCTGGAATGTTGCTGCGTTGCTGTTGCTGTTGCTTGAACCTATTTCATTCTACTGTTTTTGGATAAGATTTAGAATTTTGGGAACGTCCTTCTATTTGGTTGTTTGGTTCATTTGATATTTTGATTTGATCATTTCTAGTCATAAACAGGAAACATATGTTGTTTTTGGTTGTTGTTGCTGAGCTGCTTGGCAAGCTTTCAGAGTTTCAGTTGTTTATTTGAACTTTGAAGTCTTTTTAAGTTTAAACAGACTAGTCAGTATGAAATATGAATAAAGTGTCCAGTTTCCAGAATTTTGTTGTCTTTTTTTTTTCATGATTTGGTAACGGGTATTGTAGACCCGCGGGCACCCGATTAACCATTGGGTACGGTGATGGTTATCCATCCAAGCCCGCAAGTCCGTCTGGGCCGGGGACGGGGATACCCGAGGCCCATGGTGGGTGGGCAACGGATCCGGGGTACCCGGCCCCGATCCGCCCCGTTGCCACCCCTAAGGGTAGGCACGTGTAAGGGTGCTATACGGTCCGGTCCGGTTAAATTGGTCCGAATTGATCCGGTCCCGATTCGGTCTTTTCAAAAATGTAAAAACCAAAGATTGGATTGGATTGGATACAATCCGGTCTTGAACCGGTCCGATCCCAATTCCGTCTTGATTTTAGATTGAGCTTGTAGGGTTTGAGTGTCCTAAGGGGGGATTTGAGTGAGATAAGGCCTGAAAGGAGAAGAATGTTAAATTTTGGGTGTTGGGCTCTCTTATCCAGTCTTTATCCGATTTTTGGTCCGGTCCCAAACAGTTTTTATCTCAAATCTAGACCCAAAGATTGGATTGGATTGTTTGCTATTTGGTCCTGGTCCAGTCTCGGTCCGGGTTATATGGTCTGGTATCGAGTAAAACCAAAAAACTCGGACCAAATAGCCAGCCCTAGGCACGTGGGTGGTTAATTCGTGATTTGACATTTACCCACTTTAAATAATTCGAATTGAAGTGGGTAGATGATTCATGTGAGTGGATTAAGGATTGATAAATATCCTATATGTGATTTGACATGTGAGTGATGGGTGGATTGCGAGTCACCTAAATGACCCATACCATATTTTCATGTACCAACAAGTTTTTTTTGTTTACATTATCAAATAATCATCATATTTATTAATCGCACTATATACTGACCATCAACTTCTAAAGGTAGAGAATAAAGAGATTTTTTGGACTAATATTATCGGTAACTATATTTTGTAATATCATTTTAGATATTGAGATGCCAATTACAAACAATTAATTGTCTTAAACTCGCAAGATGGAAAGCCACATCTCCACCAGCCGAAATCTAAGGCCAATATTATAGAGCTCACTTATGTGAGTGAAAGAGGGTTGAGCTTAGCCAAGCTAGTCAAACCACCCTCTTTCTCTTAATAGCGGGTCTCGCAATTCAAAGAAATCATCATATGTGACATCACTCTCTCTATCTCTCATTTAGGGTTGCAAATGAGTCAAGTCGCACGCGAGCAGTTCGGCATTCGAATAGGAAAAAATTCGTTCGACACGCAGCTCGTTATTTAACAATTAAGCTCGCGAGCCGACTCGTTGTTAGTAAATGAGCCAAGCTTGAGCTAAACCATGCTCAGCTTGATAAGCTCGTGATCTAGCTTGACACGGTGTCTTGTTGAGCTAAGCTCACGAGCTGGCTTGTTTAGAGCTTGTAGAAGGATTAATTACTATTTTGAACATGAAAATTATCTTGTTAATACGGAAGTGTATGAAAGTTAGCTGTTATTTTTAGTTTATAGTGTTCTTTTTATAATTTAGATTCTTATGGGGCCACATTTTTTAGCAAGAATGATTTCAAATCGAACTCATTTTAAGCCAAGCTTGTACTCAGCTTGAGAAGTTTTGTTAATGAGCATTTACCGAGCTCTACCGAGTCGAGCTCGAGCTGCATATTTTTAATCGATCCGAGGTCGAGCTGGATTATCAAAATTCGAGTTCGAGCCGAGCGCGAGCTTAAATATTTATAAACGAGCCAAGCTCAAGATAAGCAAAATCTCTACTCGACTCGGCGCATTTGTAACTCTACTCTCTTCCCTCCCAACAAGACAGAAATCATCTTCTTCTCCCTCTCATTTTTCTCCCAAATGCCTCTCTCTTTCTTTCTCTATTCTCTCTCCTCCCTCAAAATGATTTTTTTTGGTCTCTGCGACAAATAGTTGTTAACATGTTTTTCAATAAAAGGTTCATGTAATTATGAATACTGGTTCGTTTTTTATGTATACTTGTTCCTCTCTATAAAGAATACTAGTTCATATATTTTTTAATAATAGTTTATGTCCTTATGAATACTTGTTCGGTTATGTTATAAATGCTTGGTCATATGTTTTTGATTCTGTTATAAATTACTAACCATGCTAGAAATATGTGCCTAGGTATATTGCTAGAAATTACTAACCATGCTAGAAATATGTGCCTAGGTATATTGAATTGACCTCATAATGCATCATAGTAGTCCACCCTTTGGCCACGAGGTCGAATAGAGTGTCATACTGCTCTAATCGAATATCTTTGCAGCAGTTTACCCTCCCATGTTACCTCGGATCCTTCTTGCATCAGACGAAAGTGAAACCAAGATCTTAGCCCTAGAATCTTCCTCCAGAGCCAAGAGCATGTGTGTGTTGCTGAAACGCTCCAAATAGCATGTTTGTGGAATATTTGTTGGTCTTGGAGATGAGAATACTTATTGGAAGCTTTTAGTACTGGATCGACAAGTTTGAATACTTCTTCAACGTCTTTGAATAATTCTTCGCCTCTATGTGAAATATTTGTTGGTCTAGAAGATGAGAATACTTGTTAAAAGATTTGACTATTGGTTCGACACTTTTGGATATTTATAAGACGCCTTTGAATACTTCTTTTGCTACATGTAATATTTGTTCTTCAATGCATAATATTTTTCTCAAAGAGTGAATTAGTATTAATATCTTCCAAACTAATATTCATATGACACATACTAATTCTTGTCTCCATATGAATATTTGTTTTATTCGACAATTGGACAAGTATTCAAAATTGCCTATCAAATATTCAAAAGCGGCCAACAAGTACTCAAAACCATAGAACAAGTATTGGACCCTAAGACAAACAAATATTACATGTAAACGAACTCGTATTCATAAGTATCTTGCTATTATTCAAAAGCTTCTCACAAGTATTAGGCTCTGATAAGACAAAATAGTACACACATATGAACACGTACTCATACACGTTTAATTAGTATTCGTAAACAATTGAGGAACAAATATTACACGTATACGAACTCGCACTCATAAGGGTGTAACAAGTATTCAATATTGGCGAACTAGTAACCATAATCTTCCAACAAGTATTCCACTCCTGGACGACGACAGACGGAGTTTAGAAGAGAAGAGGAAGAACTCATCTTTCTTGGAAGAAGAAGAAAGAGAAAAGAGATTGATGGAGTGTGAGAGAGGAAAATTGATGGATGCATTAAATGAAGGGCTTCTCTCGCCAATTGAAAACTTAGCTTGCCCATCAAAAGTAAGTCTAGTGGATCCTTCTTCCTCGACTGGCTAGTTTCCAACTTTCGGCGGCTAGCTCCTCCCCTATAATTAGGGCTGATAAACGGTGCGATTACATTTTAACCAAACTGATGAGTCGGTTATCTGCCACCGATAATGTGCCAAGACCCTCAACCGACCCGATGCCGATACTAATGGCCGTTATCCGACACCGAAATTGCAAGTTGCAGTGTGATTAATCAACAATATGTGAATCGATCAAATTAAAAGAATGGAGAGTAGAGATCTATTGGCTATTCCTCTTCCATCATCCCCAAATCCTCTCTCTCTCTCTCTCTCTCTCTCTCTCTCCAAAAGACCATCTAAACTGTATCACTTCTTCAACAAATCCTATTTGTGTCTCTGTGAAAGACCATCTAAACCCCCTCATGCAATCTCATATTTCTCACCTTTGAAAGCAGGGGAGACGGATAGAGAAAGACATGCAAGGTGGAGTGGTGGTGACAAATGAAGAAATTGTGGTTGTGATTGGCGGCGATGAGGTAGATGCGGGACGACGGCGATGAATTTGGACTACATAACGGAGGAAGGAAAGGAGAGACCCGGTGGTTGGGACATAGGGAGTTTTGTGTAACACGATTCAGTGAGTTCTGCGACTTGCAATTCATGGAGAGACCCGACAAGGAAGCCGATTGTGCAGGGGGCGATGATGTAGGGTGGCCGGTGGTTGGGATCTGGTGGTCGGCGAGGAAGATGGTTGTGCAGGGATTAGGGGGTGACAATTGCGAAAATTCAAGGGCGTCGTCAGAAAAGAGCTGGCGGATGGTTACCAGTTCACCGACTTTCAGCCGATTAGCAAAATACAGTAAATGCCCCAACCGACTGTGACATCGATGGTTTATTCATCGTTTGTCGGTTGGCCCACTAAATGATTTTTTGGTTCGATTTTTTGGATAACCTACTAATCGCCCTTCGATTATCAACCCTATCTATAACAAGCTCTTCCACAGCCAGTTCGTTTGGGGTGTAAGTTCCAATTTTTGCCTGTGTGACCTCCAATTCGACCACATGATCGTCTATAAAATATAAGATGGAGATTCACAACTTGAAATTGGAGGATTTCAAAATTGTTTTCCTTGCAGCAATTTGCGAAAGGGCTTTGTGGACAATTCCTCCACAGCTAATTCATGCTTTGCGTTTTGACCATGTATTAGGGGAGAGCGTCAAAAATTCCAGCCCGCTTGGGCTATCTTCCGATTCCGCCTAGCCTGTCTTCCAATTTTATCCACAAATGGGCCTTTTTTTATGAACAACAAGTCCACATTCAATTGTGGATTCTCTGATCCCCCAAACACCTATAGCCAGAGCTTGGAAATTGGTAGGGGAGTTACCTCTTGTTGATGTGACTTGAATCGCACTATCAGCCGCTACGACTGGAAGTCACGGGGGCTCAATGTTGTTTGGGTTTGTGTTCTGGCCCTGGTCTGTAACTGCTTTTCCTTTACCAGATAGGATTAGGGTTAGACCTAGGAGAAGAACTATAAATACTTCTCATACTACTCTGTAATCTGAATCTTCTCGAAATATAGTGAAAATGGCTCTCTCCTTCCCTTGGACTAGCTAACACACATTGTGTTAGTGAACCACGTAAATCGTGTGTCGTGTGCTTTCGTATTCTTACTTTGTCGAATCCTCCAATTTCCCGATCCGTATAGAAATAGTCATGACAAGTGGTATATGAGCTTCGGTTGGAAATCAGG